TCAGACTAAAAATTCAACCTTCAAATCACCATCCACCCCAAACCCTTTCCCGAAGCCACCCCCGATCACAAAAATTCCCCCAGACCCACCAAAAACCCCTGATCCTAAACATGGCCCAAAATTTGGTCACAAAAAAGACCCCCTAAACCCCCAAAAAACACACATGAACTCCCCTGCCCCAAAAAAAAACCCACACATAAATGTCCCCCCCAAATTTTCACACACAAGAACCCCCCTCACCCTTTCACATCCCAAGCAAAACGGGGCTAAAACTGTATTTTGCAGTTGGGTTGAGAAATTCACCCTAAAAATTGCTGGGAAACGCTCCTCTGCGAACTTTTTTGGGAAAAATTTTTCTTTGAAGCGGGTTAAGCATCCATAAAGAAGGTGTCCCCTCTCCGAAGAGGAAGTTTATCGAGCTTACTCTCTTTCAAAAAATTTAAGAAAACAGTTTAAAAACTAGCAGTAAAGCACAACCAAAACCTACAAAAAACCCTACCTTTAAATTTTCACGTAAAGGGTTCAGTATTTTCCAATCCCCCGATCAAAACTCCAACAAACCCCAAAAAACCCCCGGTGCGGGGGGGTTTAGAGTCTCATGGCAAGCGAAAAAATTCTGGGCCCAGTGCTTTTTTTTTTGCATTATTAAAATTTTCCGTGAGTAAACCACAACCCCAAACAAAACCCAAACCAAGACACCTCAGGTTTTTTTCGATACAATTAACAGCCCCCAAACCACAGAAACAACACAGACACAAACCCAAAACCTCATCATAAATACACCTCAGGTAGAAAACCTTTCCCCGGGAGGCTCCTCGCTGACGATCCCCCGGGGGAAAAAACATCAACTAAACTTATCTCGACGTAGCGTCAAAATCAGGTAGACACCCAAAAAAAAAGAAATTTTTCCTCCCTCCCAAAGCGTCTGCTGCGTGACCGTCGTATGAGCAATGACCCCCCCCCCTTTCTGTTTCGCCCAAACTTGCACCACCCCCACCTCCCCCCTTCCCGGCCCACCCGGTGCCCCCCTCCCGGGGGCCCAACACGTTTAAAAGTTTTTTTTTTTAAGGGAAAAATTAAACTAAAAATTATCTTTAAAAATATTCCAAGGGGTAATATAATGTTCCAAATGGTAATATTTAAAATTCCTAGGAAATATCTAATTTTCCTAGTGGTAAAATTTAAAAACCCCGGGGTAAAAAACTTTTTTTCCCAAGTGATAAAAGGGGAAATTTTCCAAAGGGGTAATAGCAATTTTCCAATGGAAATAAAAAAATTCCAACAAAAATGGGAAGTCCCCTTGAAAGTAATATCAAAATTTCGGAGAAATAAAAATTTTTTTTTATAGTGATAAAAACGATTTTACTAACAAAAATGGGTATCAAATTATCAGCCCCAAAAAAAATTACGGAAATAAAAAGAAAATGAAATATTAAAATTTGGGGGAAAATAATACTTTTGTGTTTGTTTTTGGGAAAGGGGGGGGGGGGAAACCTTGACGGCAAGGGCTCTTGATCCAAGGAATTGAATTTTATTAACCCCCCATATTAATTGGTTTCAAATCAAAATGCCCTCCAATTTTCAGAGTTTTTTTGCCCCTTGCTGGTTTAGAGCTTCATTGAAATTTAAAAATAATATAAAGAAGAGGAAAAAAGGGGTTAATAAAAAGTTTTTAATAGTAATAATAAAAAACAAAGGAAATAATTTTAAACTAAAAAGTAAAAAAATTTCCCCCAAACATTTTCTTTTTTTTTTAAAATAATCGAAACGTTTATTTCCAAAAAAAATTGCAAAATTTTCCCCTTTAAATTAAACAATTTATTAAAATTAACAAGAGAGCTAAAAAAAAAAAAAGGAAAAAAAGGGTTGACAGCTCGTATTTAAAATTTTGGGGAGGGTTATAACTTTGATTTTAAAAATTTGGTTATGATTAGCAGGGGCAGGGGTTCCCGGACAAGCGGGTGTGAGCAGGGGCAGATTTAAACGGGTGACAACCCTGTGGGGAGCAGGGGCCCAGAGCTTATGACAAGCAGGGGGAAGCAGGGCGGGTTGCAGTGCCCAAGCAGGTGTAAACAGGGAGTTACATGACAACCGGTGTGACATGGCGGTTACAGGACAAGCAGGTGGAGAATGGCAAGTTACAGTGACAACAGGTGAAGCAGGGCAAGCTGAAGTGAAAAGGGGTTTTGCAGGGGCAGAGTTGCATTTGAAAAGGGGCCCAAGTGTAGCATTGGCAGATTTAAACAGTGCCCAAGCAGGTGGAGCAGTGGCAGATTTTTACAGTAAACAAGCATTGGAGCAGGGCAACGTATTAAAACAAGCAGTGAAAAGCAGTGGCAGAGTTGCAGTGAAAAAGCAGTGTGACAGTGGCAGGGAAACAGTGAAAAAGCAGTTTGAGCATGGGATTTCCCGTGACAAGCAGGTGTGAGCAGTGGCAAGTTACAGTGAAAAGGGCAGGTGTGACCCATGGAAAGGAGCTTTTGGACAAGCAGGTGAAAGCAGGGGCTGATTTTCATTGACAGGAAGGTGGGCAGTGGCGAGTTTGCAGTGACAAGCAGGGGTAAGCAAGGCAGAGTTGTAGTGCCCAAGCAGGTGTGAGCAGTGGCAGAGTTGAAAGGTGACAAGCGGGTGTGAGCAGGGGGGCAATTTAAAAAGTGACAACCAGGGGGGGGGCAGGGGGCAAAGAAAAAAATTGACAAGCGGGTGGAGCATGGCAATTGGGCAGGACAAGCATGTGTAACCCAGGGCAGATTTTTGTATTACAACAGGTGGAGCAGTGGCAGATTTGTATTTACAAGAGGTGTGAGCAAGGGGCAGAGTTGAAGGGTGCCCAAGCAGGTTTGAGCAGTGGCAGAGTTTTTAGTGACAACAGGTTTTGACATGGCAATTTTTGTAGGGGAACAAGCGGGGTGTAAGCAGAGGCAGAGTTGTAGGGACAAGAAAGGTGAAAAGAAAGGGGGAAAGATGCAGTGACAAGCATTTGTGACCCAAGGGGAAAGGTTGCAGTGACAAGCAGGGTGGGGGCAGGGGAATTTCCCCGTGACAACAGGTGTAAGCATTGGCAGAGTTGAAGGACAAGCAGGGAGCGAGGGGGTTTTGGCAGTGAAAAGCAGGTTAAGCGGGTGGAAGAGTTTAGGCCCAACCCGGTGTAAAGAAGGGGGAGAGTTGCATTTGCAAGCAGGTGTAAGCAGGGGGCAGATTTTGTAGTGACAAGCGGGTGTGAGCAGAGGGAAAAGTTGCATTTAGTGACAAGCAGAAACAACAAAAAGGCACAATAACCCCCACATAGGAAATAGAAGCTTAAAAAACGACGCTTAAAATTCCGATTTTTTAAAACCAAATTTACAAAGTCCCTTTACCAAAAGAGAGTGAAGGAGCCAGTCCCAAAATGGCGAGGGGGGATTTAGGGGACGGGGAAAAGGAGAGGAAAAATAATGTAGTGGGGGGTGGTTTGAAATGGTAAATAGAATAGTAGAAAATAGTGATGGTAGAAATAAAATAGAGGTAAATAGTATTTAAAAGCTACAAGAGAGAAAATGGGGTGAAAAAAAGGCAATGTATAGGCTATTTTAAATTTTCTATTAGAGAAGAGGGGAAAACGTTTGTAGAAGTTTTGGGGCAGTCTAAGGACAAGGAAAAAAAAAGGGCTGCAGGAGACCAAAAAGCCAAAAAAGCGTAAAAGGGCCAAAAAAAGGGAAAAAAAGGGGAAAAATGAAGGAAATAACACACTTAAAAACAGAAAAAAAGGAAGAAAAAAAAAGAAAAAAAAAAAAAAATGGAAAGGGGAAAAGAGGGGGGAAAGGAGAAGAAAAAATCAGGGCCCAAATCACGAGGTTTTGAAGTTCGGGGCCTTTGAAAATGTTAAAGAGATTAAAGGGATCTACAAAGACAAATCCACACTAAGTGATTCATACAAAGAAAATTTTGTTTAAAAAATGCTTTAAAAAAAGACGGCAACTGTGAAGGCAAGAAGTAGGTTAATAGTTTTAGCAGAGGAAACCCTCAATAGGATGACGTTTACTGCAACATGTCAGAAAAACTTATTTGAGTCGGAAGCCTAATTTTTTTTTCTTTTAAATCTGTCAGAAAGAGGCGGAAACCCTCCTCCAAAGTTTTTTGGAGAGGACAAAAGAGCATGAGAAATGAGTAGACAAACCCGGGGGATCTAAAGGCAGAGGAAAGTCGAATTAGAAACTGCAAAGGTTTTACTTTTGGCGAAAAAGCGAGGGTTTTAAAGTCTAAGGGAAAAGAGAGTTTTGAGATTAAAGACTTGGGAAAAATAGGGAAGGGGGAAAAACAGGAGTTTTTACGAAAAAAATAAAGTCTTGGGGGAGATTGGGAAAATCCGTTTAAACACAAAAGAAAAAAAAATTAAAATTTATGAAAAAAAGGGAAGGGGTACCAAGACGAAAGGGGGGAACTAAATTTGAAGAGTGAAAATTTTTTAGATTAAAAAACTGAGGTTCACAACTGGGAGGGGGAAAAAGAAAAAAAAAGAAATTTGAAAAACTTTACTTTACAGAGGGAACAAGGTAAGAAAAGAAATGAAGGAAAAATGCTACAAAAGCATAGATTGCATTAAAGGAAAAAAAAAAAAGCCCGTTGCCTATTGGGTTTTTAAAAACAAACATCAAAGGGGAAAAGCAAAGATAAACTCCAATTTTGCTTTTTACTTGCGGAAAGGGGCCCCCATTGTTAAAAGGGGACGAGACTAAATCACGGGGCCAAAGAGCAAAGACGTCATCTACATAGCGGAGTCAAAGGGAAGTGCGCACACCAATAGCAGGAAGAACAGTTTCGAAGTACAGTATTTTATAAAGGTTAGCAAGATCAGGGGATAAAGTAGAGCGACACCGTAGGTTTGAGGATCAAATTTACGATGAAAGGCAAAGGAGTTAAGAGTCTCCACAAAGGCGCAAAATGTTGATGATCTTAATTTTCTTAGAGAGGATCAATGAAGGGTTACATCATCTCCCTTTGAACTTACTGGCACTGGGAACTTACTGGTACTGGGAACTTACTGGTACTGGGGTATTGGGAAGCCCTGGGCAGCACAGGGTAGCTCAACGGTGCGTCTAACAGTGGCCGTAACGGAGGAACGTGAGTCAGTGATCCTGGGAGGAACGGATGATCTTGGCTCGTTCACCATCAACCTGCAAGAAAAGCGAATGTCTGTGATAACGCCCTTTCTTCGGATCAAACCCGCTTACCTAGCATTTCTGAACAGAGACGTAAAATATTTTAAAAGACAGATTTTATTAAAATGATAGAAAAGCGATAAACCCGTATGGGTTACATAGCATGTGGAGAAAGGGAGGAACAAAGTTTTGACCCAAGGAAGGGTAACTCCAATTTCTTGGATTAAGAGCCCTTCACTAACTATATTCGACATATATATATTATATATATATATTATATATATATATATACATATATATATACATATATATGTGTATATATATATATATATATATATATATATATATATTATATATATATATATATAATAATATATATAATATACATAAATATATTTATCTGATTTGAATATATATTAAAAGTACAATTCATAATGAATTGGTGTTCTCATCATAATTTCTGTGATGAATAAAAAACACATTTATGCACTGCTGCAAGGTTAGCAAAATGTATATACGTTTTGTATTATAATTTTTGTGTGATACTTTCTGAATATATATAACACATTACAGCGTGTCCATAGGGGGCAGGTGTCAAGAGGGGGAGGAGGTGTCAAGAGGGGGGGCAGGTGTCAAGAGGGGGCAGGTGTCAAGAGGGGGGGCAGGTGTCAAGAAGGGGGGCAGGTGTCAAGAGGAGGGGACAGGTGTCAAGAGGGCAGTGTCAAGAGGAGGTAGGTGTCAAGAGGGGGGCAGGTGTCAAGAGGAGGGCAGGTGTCAAGAGGAGGGCAGGTGTCAAGGGGGAGGCAAGTATCCAGAGGAGGCATGTGTCCGGGGGAGTTATCTCAGGGTCTGGTTGTGTGTCCAGGACAGGAGAAAAGTGACAGGCTTCAGACTGAAGCAACTGTTTGATCCATCTCATTCTCGGTGATGTGTTCATCCTGTTTCTATCTCTACTGTATGTGTTTTAACCTGCTATATGAAGACGTAAAGCACAGAGCATTTTACCTGACTTGAAAGCGAGGAATTAGACACGCGAGAAGCCTAGCGATATGAACTGAAAAAGCCACTGGTTAATAATAATAATAATAATAATAATAATCATAATAATTAATAATAATAAATAATGTTTCTAAAAGTATATGATACAACGAATAGAGACCATAGCTGATATCAGTTACACACTATATAGAAAGCCCCTTGTTATGCAGAACCTTCCTGGCAAATTAGGTTAATTTTGTTCCCAGGATGCGACCCACATGTCAACTAACACCCAGGTACCTATTTACGGTTAGGTGCACAGGGACAACAGGTGTCTTAAGGAAACTAGCTCCAGTGTATTCAAATAAATATACCCAGGTATTGCATGTGTGTCTACGAATAATTCCTCATCAGTATTGTTTACTAATTTCACAACCTATTATATGATAAGAGAGAACGACTGATGGAAACCTCGCTAGGTGGGAAGGGAGGTCCAGGGGTGTGGTGCGTACTCTTACCTGCCAGCCACGGCCGAGATAGTAGTCTCGTCAGTGAGGACGTGTTGGGTCTCACAGTGGTATGACTGGAACTCGTCAGCCTTGGTCACGTGACGGATGTGTAGCTCTCCAGTCCCGAAAACAGAGTATCTCCCACCTAGGGCAAGAGACACATTAAGCGGCAATAGAAATTTACTCTCAAGTGGTATGGATTAATTAATATATATATATTATATATATATATATAATATATATATATAATATATATATATATAATATATATATATATATATATATATTATATATATATATATACACACACACAATTTGGGCACACGCTCTCATGAATGTTCACATGACATGATACCAGACTGGTAATGAAGGCATGACCGCGCTCACGCGCGCGCGCACGCAAACACTCCCAAACAAACAAGCAAAAAAAGGAAAAAAATGAGATTGAAACAAATCAAAGTCAGCAAAGTTTGGGAAGTAATTTCTGCAGAGTTCCGCCTTTAATTAAGAAATGAAGAGCTTCGTTCGGCTCTAGACGCGTGCATGCTTGTATGTGTGTGTACTCACCTAGTTGTGGTTGCAGGGGTCGATTCATAGCTCCTGGCCCCGCCTCTTAACTGGTCGCTACTGGATCACTCTCCCTGAACCATGAGCTTTATCATACCTCTGCTTAAAACTATGAATGGATCCTGCCTCCACTTCCTGACTACTCTGACTGAAGAAATACTTCCTAACATCCTTGTGATTCATCTGTGTCTTCAACGTCCAACCGTGTCTCCTTGTTGTTGTGTCCCATCTCTGGAACATCCTGTCTCTGTCCACCTTGTTAATTTCTCTCAGTGTTTTATATGTCGTTATCATGTCCCCCCTATCTCTCCTGTCCTCCAGTGTTATCAGGTCGACTTCCCTTAACCTATCTTCGTAGGACACACCCCTTAGCTCTGGGACTAGTCTTGTTGCAAACCTTTGCATTTTCTCTAGGCTAGATGGGTTCCAAACTGGTGCCGCATACTCCAATATGTGCCTCACATACACAGTGTACAGGGTCCTGAACGATTCCTTATTAAGATGTCGGAATGTTGTTCTGAGGTTTGCTAGGCGCCCATATGCTGCAGCAGTTATTTGGTTGATGTGCGCTTCAGATGTGATTGGTGTTATACTCACCCCAAGATCTTTTTCCTTGAGCGAGGTTTGTAGTCTCTGGCCCCCTAGACTCACCTCCGTCTGCGGTCTTCTTTGCCCTTCCCCAATCTTCATTACTTTGCACTTGGCGGGGTTGAACTCCAGGAGCCAATTGCTGGACCAGGCCTGCAGCCTGTCCAGATTCCTTTGTAGTTCTGCCTGGTCCTCGTCCAATCGAATTCTTCTCATCAACTTCACATCATCTGCAAACAGACACTTCGGAGTCTATTCCTTCTGTCATGTGGAACCCCGCTCGTCACAGGCGCCCACTTTGACACCTCGCCTCGTACCATGACTCGCTGCTGTCTTCCTGACAGGTATTCTCTGATCCATTGTAGTGCCTTCCCTGTTATCCCTGCCTGTGTATATATAAATGTGTGCGTGCATGTGTGTGTGTGTGTGTGTGTGTGTATGTGTGCGCGCGCGTGCGTGTGCGTGTGCGCGCGCGCGCGCGTGTGTGTACTCACCTAATTGTGGTTGCAGGGGTTGAGAGTTAGCTCCTGGCCCCGCCTCTTTACTGGTCGCTGCTAGGTCCTCTCACTCCCTGCTCCTTGAAGAGCAGGGTGTATGTATGTGTGTGTGTGTGTGTGTGTGTACACTAACATATATGTACTCCATGTTTGTAACTACATGGATCTCTGGTTGCTAATAGGTTCACTTTCTCAGTGCGTTAGCCCTTTCCTATCTATTCTTAAAGCCTATGTATAGATTCTGCCTCTACCATTTCCAGTCAAAGTCATTCCACTTCCTGACCACTCTAAGGCTCATGATGTATATCCTAACATTTCTGTTTCTCACCTGTTTTTTCAACTTCCAGCTGTAATCTCGTGCACCTGTTACACGCCTCTCAAACTCTCCCTGTCTACCCTATCAAATCCCTTCAGTATTTTGTACGTTGCAATAATGTCACCTCTGTTCTTTTTCTCTTCTGATGTTGTTCGGTTTGCCTCTTCTCATAGCACATAGCCCGTAGCTGTGGGACTAGCCTCGTTGCAAACCATTGCACTTTCCCCACTTTCTTGATATGTCTCATCAGGTGGAGGTTCCAGGTTGGTGCTACCACACAAAGCCTAGAGCTATCTTTCAACTTTATTATTTACTTGTACTCATTATTCATTACTCTTCCTTTCATTCACATTAATCTTGCCTTCATCCTACCTCACCTTAAATGAGTTTGTAGATAACTAATTCGCAGCCATCCTAATAATAATAATAACAATAATAATAATAATAATCTTTAATTAGGTTAGGTAAGATTTGTCAGGAAACAGGACAAGTGTTTCCTGATGCGGATTTTAGTCATATGATGACAAGACACTTGAGGTTTTGGTCATCTGACCGAGGCCTTCCACTGGCTTACTTTTCCACCCTTTAAAAACTATGGGTATGATTATTAGTTTTTACTTCTACAAGACATGTGCTAAAAAAAGGATAAGATACACTGACTAGAGGAGCTTACCTGTAAACGAGAGAC